TATTGGAAGTGGGGTGAAGTGCAAAAGCTGATTCAGGATTACGATCTTGAGCTGTATCGTTGCGACGGATGCATGCTAGGGATCTTGGATCACCAAGGACTCCCACTAAGGAAGGCATGGATCGTTGCATCTTCTGTTCCAATGCAGCGGCTGGCAGCTCATAGGTGTGACCACAATCACAAACATGGAGAGTCTAGGGGCAAGGACCTTAGGAACTCTGAGAGCTACACCTACGTTATGACTGATTGCATTCACCATGACTGGAAAGTGTTTTGTGACAGTCTTTCGAAACATTCCGCATGTGCTATCAACACGTTGTCGCAAACTCGCACCGAAACTAGCACGTGTGATTTCGAGACTACAAACACCTTAGTTGCCTGCTGCGCCATCGCGGCAGTCCACTGCTCGCCGAACATGGAGCGAACCACCGCTGGCATCGTTGCACCAACGGAGGTGCTTTTCAGCTGGTGGGCACGTCGTCTCACTGAGACCGCTCTTTGTTCGGAATATCGGACCATGGCAGCACTGGAGGACGGCGAGCACGCCGTGAACGAGTTTTACAAATATGTGCCGCGTCCTGTACTTTGTGAATTTGCCTTCAAGAACCCCGCGGAATGCGGGAATGTGGCAAAAGTCGGCTTACTTAGTGATCAAGGCCTTGCCATGCTCCAGCCCGAACACATTCGTGGCCGCTTGCGCTCATTGATCATCGTTGCTGACTCGTCTACCACTTTCCTGACTGAGGGGAACTACAAGACCGATTTGCTCGCCGACATCACTGTCAACCGCACCAATGTGTTTCCCGACTTTCAAGGAGTCGAGTACATCCCGTCATGGGGGTCCAATCTCACGCGGCTGGTACAGCTCGCCGTTGACAAGATCAACATGTGGGAGAGGGCTGGTGCAATCGACAAGACCTTGTCGGTGGATGTGATGATCGTCTGGAACGCAAATGAACTTGTGGGCGAAAAGGGGCTGTTCTTGGATCCGAACTATAAACCTTCAACAGAGCATTGGAGGGGAAAGCCGCATGTCGCGCAAGGACAGTGGAGCTTCATAGGCCCCAAAATTCTGCGTGAGTTGCACAAGCTCAAGGAACTCCAGAAGCGCCCCCACGTTGGTACCGTCCTCCTCACCTCTGCGACGGACCACAAGGCCTACTTTCTCCCGAGAGAGTGGGGCACTTTGATGGAGGAGATCCTTGACTATGCCGCCCAGATTGGGCTGGCCGTGAAAAACTTCAATGTGCCTGCAACCCAAATCAGGAAGTACGACTCATATCACTTCCTTGAGGACACCAATCATCGACGGCAACTGCTTCGGTGGATTGGAGCCACGGCTCGAATCATGGTGCTGCGCCATCAATGCTCGTTTTTCCGCACTGAGGACCTGGATCGCACACTGGTGAATTACCAGCACGTCCCGCGACCGAATGCTCGGTTCGCCGTGGGCGCGCAGATTGACGACCAGATCTTCAAGAGGCTGCAGAGGACGAGGGCAAGAGAGGTCTACCAGCCACTGGTCGAGGCCGATCCGTGGGACGACGTCTATTTTGATGGCCCGGCGGAGAGCTTCCCATCTGGGGCACCAATCCGCCTGCAGGACCGCGAGTTCCCCAACATGGTCCGATTGGAAAGCGGCGAATACGTCCCAAGGTCTCAATTCGAGGCTAGCCAGCAAGAAGCAGTCGACAACGCCCCCCGCCCTGGGGAGGCCGTCATCGCTGCATCGCGGGCTGCAACAAACCGGGACCCTGAGGCAACCAAGCAACGTTTGCTTGGGCGCGGCGAGGTGTTCGACAAAGCATCGTCTGCATCTTCTACAGCCGCAGCCGCAGAGATTGGGCCATCACAGCCGAAGAAGGCGAAGACCAGTGGAAGCAGCGACGAAGTTATCCCCACAGGATACCTCAGGGTGTCCGATGACTTCCAGCTCGTCGACATGTTGGGCCTTGACTGGGACACGATCGCACAACGCCCATCTGATGATGAGGCCGACTGGGTGATCCTGTCCCCTGAGGATCTCCCCAATTTTTCCACTGTGCCAATTCCGCGTGGGACTCGGAATTATGTGACCGGGGTCGTTAGAGGCAAAATCTACGACGACATGCACGACTCGGAGCTTTGGTGTCGGACCCGTGATGTTCTCGATCGTGTGAACTATGATTGCGGCACCAGCTACGGTCTTGGCATCTTGTTGTCCATGGTGAAGAACGACAACAAGGGTCGCTTTGAGCTCAAGGCCGACAGAAACCATCAACTCGCCGACTACTATGGTCTGGCCGGATACCCTGTGCTTATACGGGCTAGGCAGGGGCATTCAAAAGGTTTGATGGAGACTGCGTCCGACGAGCAAATTTGCGACTGCTGGCTGTCGTGTATCCCGAAGAATGAGATGAGTGACCACGACGCCACCTTTGAAGGTAGGCCGGTCCTTTGCTGGGAAGAGACTCCCAAACGTCTCTACCACAGAACATTCAAGGACCGCGCCTTCAAGATTGTGCAATCAGCCTTCTACCCCGGCTACCGAACGGCCAACGCCCATGTGTATTTTTCTGATCGCGAAGTCGGACATCACGAAAATCGTGCTGGTGTACGTGCCGATCGACCTTTCGAGCTTGTGGTTGACACACGTGAGGCTCTCCGACTTGGCGTGGGGCTCTTTTACTCCAGATCAGAAGGTGTGCTCTCCAGTCAGTCGGTCCCTGGCAGCTGCGTGCTGTACATACGGGACACGGCGTCTGACACCGTCATCTGGAGCAGAGTCGAGGAAACTGATGCCCCTCAATCTGAGGAGGCCGGTTTTACTCTTCCCGCCGGTGGAGACGAACCACAAGATAGCGTGGAGGTCATCTACGAGCTCGAGGACGAGGAGCCTGAAGACGTTGCGATCAAGCCAATCATCAAGGTCGAGCTCCCAGTTGCGGCGGATGCTTTGGGTACAGACGAAGATGTTCCCGAAGGCCCGAGGGTGACGTTCAACACCGACATTGACATCCAGGAGATTTCGCCTACTAGGTCGACTGCTGGATATATCGAGATCGTCGCTGGTGACGATGCAGATGTTGGTGCAGCATCCTCTGGTCAAGCGGCTGGTACTCAGCGCGCCGGGAGCCTGACCCGCATCCAGTGCGATCATTGCGGCAACCTGCGTTTGGAAGGGCAGCATCGTTGCTTCCATTGTGGCTGCTTCTTGACCAAAGGAAGCAGGCAGTCAACGTTCCGCATGTTTATGAGCCGCAAGCGCAACGACGTCCTCGACCAGATCGCCCAGGAAACTGGCTACCGGCTCTGGCAGCTGACGGCTGACCAGGTACGCCGGGGCTCAGGACAGCACGACAACCGCGGCGCTCAGTCTGTCGATGGAAAGGCTATTGCTCAAGCAAAGCAAAGCCTTAAGCACTTCCGCGGCCAAGGACACTCTGGCATGCTCGACAAGTTCGATTCTGACCATAACTATGCCATTTACGCGGTCCGAAATGGATGGACACGCCGGTTGTTGTCAATTCAGGAGTGCGTTGCTTTCGCTTATCTCCCGAATCCTGGCCGCAATCGTGAACAGAGAGCATTGGGTTACGGATCGAGCCGTCGTTTGGAAGCAAGCCAAGTGGACCACACGGCACTTTGCCGCATGGTGTACTTCGACAAGCCCGCCGGTGATCTCATCCAGGCCGGATTATTGTCGAATGACCAGGAGGAGCCCATCGGTTTTGCCTGGCTTGGTAGCTTCTATGGTGTTGAGGATTTCTCTCGCGTCGCCTTCTTTACGAGGGGGGTGAGCCATATCCTTACCTTCTGCGAAGGCACCATTGAGCTCCCACATGCGACTGAGGCCGGCGACATCAAGGTCTTCCTGAAGGCGGTGGTTCGTGACAACCATTCCGCAGCGAGAACATTGGTTGGCCAGATGAAAGATGACGCCGAGGCCTCACGTGCAGCACAAAGGCTCGCGGATGAGCGTCGTGCCCGGCAGCAGGAGCGCAACGCCCCTCGCCATGAGGAGGCCGATGTATGGTCGTCCTCAACGTGGGGCTGGTCTGACCACGGAACTTGGTGGTCTGGAGACTGGCGCTCTGAGAATCGCTGGACCGAATGGGACTGGAGCAGCTGGCAGCAAGACCGCCACACTCCATGGCGCTATGATCATAGCCGTAGGTGGTAACATACCACATTTTGCGTTTGCACAACACGTTTGCCATCGCCTTGTTTTCCTCTTTTGCGGCACGCGTTGTGTTTTGCAGTGTTTGTTCATACCGTGTCTGTATCCCCGCCGACGTTCCAGCAAACGGAACCAAACAAAGAATACGCCGCCTCTTAGGGCTGGCCGGAATATTTTTGAAGTCGGTGCGCGGTGATCGGCGGTGTGTTTTCGGAATTCACACCTCGGGCTACAGTGCTTTGAACATGCAGTAGAAAAGGCAATGCGGCACAAACTGTGTTCGCCGTGGCTTCGTTGACAGCGCCTCAGCATTTCACGCTTCGACGAGGGGGGTGTATTTTATATTCGGACCTCCTTGCCACTTTTGCCTTCATGTATGTTGCACCTATCGCACTCAAGCCCTCTGAGACAAAAAGGTAGAAGTGCGCCTGTGTTTCATGGCTTAACGGATTGCATTGGTGGATTTCCCAAACTATAGGTTATCAGCCGTCACACCTCGGGCTACAGTGCTTTGAACATGCAGTAGAAAAGGCAATGCGGCACAAACTGTGTTCGCCGTGGCTTCGTTGACAGCGCCTCAGCATTTCACGCTTCGACGAGGGGGGTGTATTTTATATTCGGACCTCCTTGCCACTTTTGCCTTCATGTATGTTGCACCTATCGCACTCAAGCCCTCTGAGACAAAAAGGTAGAAGTGCGCCTGTGTTTCATGGCTTAACGGATTGCATTGGTGGATTTCCCAAACTATAAAGTTTAGGGTTTAAGGTTTAGGGTTTAGGGTTTGGGGTTTGGGGTTCTGGGGTTTGGGGCTTTACGGGCTTGGGGCAAGGGACTTCCGTCAGGTGGAAGCCTGGGCCATCGGCCAGACCCTCAACTTACGCCCCGGCGACGTCGTGCTGGACCCTTGGTTTAGGGTTTAGGGTATAGGGTTTAGGGTTCAGGGTTGCCTTTTGGTGCTATTCCCCACCTCTGCCGCCCGCCCCCCACCCCCCCCCCTCCGGCCTTTAACACCCTAGCCCTGAGCCCTGAACTGTGAGCCCTCGACCGAATGACCCCCTAAACCCTCAAGCCGCGTTGTGGTGTGAGCCCTTGCTCGAAGATTCGTAGAGGGAGCGGGGCCCCTTTTATCATACCCATCACCGCCCTTAAGCAAACTGGTGCCCAGTTGCCGGCATAGTTGTGTTGAGGCTCTCAAGAGGATTAAGGGGCGTGCAGAACTCAGGGAGCTAAGGGGCTTACAACCCTGAACCTTAAACCCTAAACCCTAAACCCTAAACCCTAAGCCTTAACCCCAAGCGCTAAGGCTGCAGAAGCTCTAGGCCCTTTGGCTGGCAACACCCCAAGTCCCGAACTCTTAGCATGAATGAGCCCTCTGCATCCCTAAGACCGAAACCCGAAAAGCCTTCAGCCCTAAACCCTAAACCCTAAACCCTAAACCCTAAACCCTAAACTTAGCAGTTCAATACCCAACTTTTCGACCTCTCATAAGGTAGTCTTATTCTGAAATTTTGAACTTTTCACCCTATGGGTAAACCCTAAACCCTGAACCCTAAACCCTAAACCCTAAACCCTTTTGGGGCCCGAAGCTTTAAATCTGGTGCGCCGCAGGACCCCATGTGTGGAAAGGGCACACTGCTACTCGAGGCGGGGAAGATGCTGGGCTAGGCTTAGAGTTTAGAGTTTTGGGTTTAGGGTTTAGGGTTTCGCGTTTGGGGTTTAGGGTTTAGGGTTTCGGGTTTATGGTTTAGGGTTTAGGGTTTATGGAAGCTATTAAGGGTTCAGGTCCGGGGAAAGTTTTGAGGAGTTGCGAGGAAAGTTTCGAGGAAAGTTTCGAGGATTTTTTTTGGGACTTTTGGATAATTTCAAGTTACAGGGGCTTAAGATGGCTTGAGGGTTTAGGGTTTAGGGCTTAGGGCTGCGGGCTTTGGGTTGGGAGTTTGGGAGTTTGGGAGTTCGGTGGCGGGGCAGCCTCCTTTGAGTCCAATAGCAAAGGTCGCGAAGCCGCCTACTATATACCAAATGCAGCTACCAATGACCACGATATCTGCCAGCATCACCTAAACCCTAAACCCTAAACCCTAAACCCTAAACCCTAAACCCTAAACCCTAAACCCCTGCACCCTGAACCTGAAGTCGAGAGCCGCGCCCTCCGCAGGCTGCTATTTGGTGGCCCGAGGTGCTCAGGGTTGAGGGGTTTAGGGTTTAGGGGAAAAGGGTTTAGGGTTGAGGGGTTTAGGGTTTAGGGAAAAGGGTTTAGGGTTTATGGGGTTTGTGGGGTTTATCATTAGGGTTCATAGGGCGGCTTATGGGGTTTACATGATGGGGTTTATAGGGTTTATCGGGTTTACAGGGTTCGCAGCCTCTTTGTGCGTGTGTTTCAGGGTTTCAGGGTTGTTTGGGTGTTTGTTCTAAGGGGGTTCAGGGTTTGCTTTCGTTAGGGTTAGCCCTCGCAGTGCATGCAACACATAGCTTGCACGAGTGTTAGGTCGTGAGCTTAGGGTTTAGGGTTTAGGGTTTAGGGTTTAGGGTTTAGGGTTTAGGGTTTAGGGTTTAGGGTTTAGGGTTTAGGGCTCAGGATTTGGGGTTGAGGGTTCTAGCGAATTGCGAAGCCTTTGGAGACGCCGTCCCTACGCCCTACGCCGAAGCAGCGAGACAGCGTACCGTGAACCCCACACCCCTATTTTGAACCTAGAAACCCCGAAGCCCCAACCCCTACACCGAAAACCCTAAACCCTAAACCCTAAACCCTAAACCCTCGGTCTCTCCTGACCCTAAGTTAAACCCTCCACATTCAGCCCTAAAGTCTTTAAAGCCCTAGAACCCCTAACCCTCAACCCTAAACTCAATGAGGCTATTTTGGCATGTTCTCCCTTCTACTAACAGGCCTCAATAGGGATTCGAATACTACTAATAATCACCTGTAACCCTCTGTGTTTCCTGGAGCTTTGTTTCTTGACCTCCGCGAGAGGCTCGGTATGTTGGCTGCGATGCTGACGCAGCCCAGTTGGAGGCGCCTCCTTCGCGGACGAGCATGCAGTAATATAGGACTACGAACTGCTTGAGAACCACCAAAAAATCAACAATATTCTTCCTTATAAGGGGAATATACCCTAAGCCCTAAACCCTAAACCCTATACCCTAAAGGCGTTTTCTTTCAAGGTTCAGGTAGTTTCCCTCCGCGGTCCCTGGCCTTGTTGCAAAACCCTGGTGTGGCACTATAATTGCCCACGACATCACTGCTCCGTTGGTTATTTCCATCGTTGAGCCCAATACCTGGCTTGGCTCTGCCCTCCACTGATCTGGTTCGCCCTGGTGTTGCTGGCATCCAAGCTTTCCTCGACCCGCTCTTCACTTTCACTCTGGTGGTGTCAGTGCATGTGCGGTGGAATCGTCGCTGGACGTTTTTTCACGTTATCCTGTGGCTTTATCACCTTTTTCTGGCTGGTGAGTTTTGGTGGGTGGTACAACGGCGACTACCTCATCAATTTCGAAGAGAAGGGAATCCTCTTCTCACAGAAGGGCCAGAAGATCGAGAACAAGAGCTCGAACAACTCTGCGGTGTGCGATTTCTGGTCTGATTTCGCCCTCGGATCAGAGAGTGCAACTGGCGCAAAGACAGTTGCAACACCACCACTCGAGATCGACGCTTCCTTGGCTGGTTCAAAGGCTGAGAGAAGGCGAGATGAATCAACGGCAGAAAGAACAAGGCCAACGCATGGTACTGCGGAGATTGCGGGTCTCCTTGGCAATCGTATGGTGGATCGGACAGACAGCAGAAGCAGGAGAAGGCCCCCTGGCAGCGAGAAGCAGACAGGTGGTCGCAATCTCCACGGAGGAGGGTCTCGCCGCGGAGGAGGAAGCCACCGGATGGTGGAGCCAAAGGCAAGCCCAAAGGCGAAGGCAAAGGCTCTCAGCAGAAAGGGAAGGCAACTACGCTGGCACCGGATATTGCAGCTTTGCCGCCTCCGCCGACATCCACGACTGTTGTACTGCCGAAGGCCCCAGGAACTGGGCCGAGCCAACAGGCACCCGAAGGAGACAAAAAGCTGCTGGCAGCACTGGTTGCCCATATGGAGCATTCGGAAGAGACACCGATAGAGCTGGCGACGATGATCAGCCATTATCGGGAGGAGAACCATCGAGTTCAGGGGAAGACCCTGCACCGGTTGGTGTCGCAACAGACGGAGGCAAAGAGTGCTCTGGAGAAGGCCAGAGCCGATCGGCAGGCCTACGATTCGGCGTGGGCACAGTATGTGGCCAACCTCGCGACGCTGTTTCAGAAGCAACTGGAAGAACGGCAGAAAGTGATCTCGCAGCTCGAAGAAGCCGAGTCCTCATGGGAGACCAAACTTCAGGATGCCTCAGCATTGCTATCTCGGACGGCAGGAGCTGGCAATACGAAAGACGAAGTGGTCGATGTGGAAGAGGAGGTCGATGCTGCCGCTGCTACAGATGCTGCCTCGGATGTGCGGAAAGAGCAACGTGCATCCCAGATGCAAGAGATCGAAAGGACGAATCTTGGCATCTTGCAGGCCCTCAACACGGCGAAGGATACGGCGCTGGAAGGAGTGGCCAGAGATGTTTCCAGATCGCCACGACGGAAACAAAAGGACACGGAGCAGGAGCATGTGGACGAAGTTCCACCAAAGATGGCCAAGACAGCGCCACTGGCCAAGACAGCGCCACCTTTGGGCCCTGGCTAAGCCTGCGAACGAGCCTCACGGGACCTCGCAGGCATATTCCGCACACCTTAGGTGGTTGCGAAGAGGAGGTGAGACCTACCTGGCACAGCGTCATGAACGAGCCGGACTATGTCTCCCCCTTGTATGCTAACATCCTGGCTTGCTGCACCGAGAGTGACTTGCAACTCCCTGGAATGGATCTATTCTTTTCTTGTGATCCCAGAATCGAGGAAGAGAAGCTGACTTGGGGTGACCGTCATCTTCTTCGTCCCCTTGGACATGCTGTTGAAAGCCTTTCCAGCATACGATCTGAATCTGAGCCTGCATTCGAGCTGATGGACAGTGCTTCGACTTGCAGTGATCACATTCAGGTCCAATGCCGAAGCAAGGTTTCAACACCATGCTCAAGGGTTGTACATTGTACAAAGTCTTGTCTGAAGAGTAGAAGTTCCAATCTCGGCAAAGCCGTTTCATTTGAAGGCCAGTTTCTGGATAGCGTTGCTTTGAGAGCTTGGTACTCCTGGAATCGGGCGTTGATTAGTTGTCTGGGTTCCTACAGACAAACTGCCGCCCTATGGCTCCACCGCCTGGAGCATGAGCACACTGCCTCCGCACAAACTGCCTTTCCTGGGGTTTTGAGGCATAGACACCCTGACCCGGCACCCTGCCTTTCCCTAAGTAATAAGGGGTTTAGCAGCTACCCGGACCAGACTCACTGCCGAGGCCTTGTGAATTGTCCCCTCAGCCAAGACACCACTATGGGGACGCACAGCGCGGGCACAGGGGGCTCCTCAAGCTCCTCGTCATATGAGCATGTCACCACGATTGCGGGGGTGGGCAACGTGCGCGACAACTTGGTGTTGTTAACGCCTTTCGCCCTTGCAAGATCAGACAAGTTCATGGGGAAGCATGCTGCTCAGGAACGGTTCACACTGTTTGATGTAGTGGATCATATGCGCATTCTAGATGCACACCCGGAATGGACTGTGCAAGACTACGCAGTGGAGGCTGCCAGGCGCACTAGAGACCAACCTGTTGCAGCAATCTACATGCTGAAATACCCTTCTGAGGGCCTGCCCCCAATCCAATTCGTGATCAGGTCTGTCAATGTTCCGGTTGGTTGGGTTAACGTCCCGGTTGACCTCCGTGCGTTGCAGCTGGGTTTCCACACTCTTAGCCTGCCGGTGGATGCGTCCTCCTATGAAGCTGCGTTGAGGCTCAGCATGAGTTGCGTGACCATTCCGCCGTTGTTTGCTCCTGCAGTGGCTAGAGGCAATCTGAGGATCGACCCTGCTGACAGGACGCAGCTGGACCCTTTCCAGACGCATGCTTTGCAGCCCTCTTTTGCCATGATTGCTAGAGGAATCGGTAACAGAAACAACTTTCTGCTGGAACAACCCGAACTGAGTACCTCTAGTTCATCGGCCGAAAGCACCACCCCCTTTTTCTCGCCTGTGGACTATGAGCCGCCTGAAGGCGATGTGGTTGTGGCCTACCATTCCCCAGGCCACCGACCCTGGATGCAGTCCCATCCCAACACGATCACGCCTAACGACATGGCACAGGAAGCATCCGCCCATCTCGGCCAGATGGCAGGAGTCAGTAGATGGAGAACTTCCCTGCTGCCCCTTCAGCCGCATATCGCCGGGGTGGACCTTCATTGCCTTGCACTTCCGATTGCTGAGGAAGGTCATAGCATGATTACGGTTCTGGCTGACTTCAGACCTGTGTTTGGGCCGGGATTATTGTCATTCGTTGCCATCCCGGTTGAGGTTCACAGTGCCTCCATGCAGGAGAACATTGTCAATGCGACAGTTGACCAGTTGTTTGAGCTGGCCCTTGCTGAACCCCCGGTTGAATTCTTTGTCACTACAGCAGGTAATGGGGGTCTTGTCGTCCCTGCCCACGAGGGACAGCATGCGGTGATGGACTCCTTTGATGTAGCCGGGCACTTCCCAGGACTGCTCACCATGACCCGCTTCTTTGGGGCAAGTGATTGGGCACTGGCCGCGAGCCGGACCATGAGGACCACCTCCTCTACCACCACCACGCCCTTCGAGGTGGAAGACCCTCGGAGAGAGAGGCTTAGGCTTGTGCCCCGGAATCCTCTCAGGCTATGGTTGGGTATTCAACAGATTGGGTTGTTGCAACAGGATTTCGAAGGGGACCCACCCATGGCTGTCATTTTGGCACGCATGTGGACAAGAGTCCTGCAGCAGCACACTGTGAGTGATTCACTCATTGTCCGAATTGCCCATGTTCACACGCCTGCTACAGTAGCTGCCAGAGAGCTCCTCATTTCCATGGAGTTGAGCTCCAACAGAGACACTGCAGGCGTATGGGTTGACCTTAGGCCGGGTGGTGCTCTAAGCTTCCAACAGGTTCCGATCTTTGCGGATGCAAGCTGCATTACGGACCTCCCAAGGCAATACAAGCATGTGTTCCTCAATGGGCGAAAGTGGGAGCAGGCATGCAGTGTGTACAGCGGAGCCTACATTGCCTTCAGCATCACGTCGCATGCTCCTGATGTCCGATCTGTTGACTTCTTTTACGGAAGAATAAGAGGCCTTGAAGCCCTTGCAATCCCTTTCTTTGTCCCCACCGACTTGCCTCAGCAGACAGAGACTGATGCTGAACATCTCAGATCCGAAGCACTCACGGTCTGGGAGAATACGCTTGACCACCGGCTCAGGAACATGGGCTTTGTTGGGGATGTAAGAGGGGTGGTTATAGCAGGGGAGTGCTTCACGGTGCTTGCGCCATCTAGCCGCCCTACAAGCATGCCTGACGTTGCTGCGTGGGTTTCGCAGTGGATCGTACCAGCGTTTGGCCCGGTGCAACTTTACCAGACGCAAGGTCAGGTGGGCTCTAGACAAGTTGAAATTGCCTCGGGCAGCAGTCTCGATCCGCATGAAATGTACTTCAGGGTGGAAGTCACTGATCAGAGTGTCATTGTCTTCAAACTGCCCCACTCTGTCCTGCCAGACACGTTGCGCAGACTTGCCCCTGTGGATGATGCCTGGAGCCGACCTGTTCCGGGCCGCGCATGGTATGCCCCCTTTTTCCCTCCCGCCGACCTATGCTCAATGGTAACAGTGGGTGAAGGACAACCTGCAAATGCCTCTGCCCCGACTGAAGGGGGAGGGCCTGTCGCAAGACAAGAGGTTGTGCCTGTCTGCACTCGCCGTTGGGGTAACTTCAGGGTTAGGAGGGTCAGGTTCCTAATTGATCATACCACAGAGGTCCACGAGCGGAGTGCGGCTTTGCAATGGCTTGATGCTCATACCGCGGAGGCATCAGCTACTCCAGAGGCTCAGCCTACCACGAC